TGCACTTTGGAACTCAAGATTCAAGAGACAAGGGACCCCCAACAGTGATTGCGTGTGCAGCTGAAGCCCCGGCCACACACTTTCAAACCTGTGCTTGCAGCGGCGATGCCTTTTCCACGTTGCTGATGGAAAATCCACCCTCAGCTCTTCCCGCCAACACCGACCCCAGCTGCAGGATCAAGGAGCCTCCCCAGTTGTTCCACTGACCAGGCTGCCAGCCCGCCTCAGAGTGGAGGCATCCCCCGCGGAGAGCGGCGAACCAACGTACCCCAAAGCTTGGCGTCTCCGCCTGACCTGGTGCAACAGGGAGGAAGACACCTCTCTCCGGGGCCTCACGGAAGCCTCCCAGAAGTCTGCTCCAAGTTCCACAGCAGAGCCAGCTCGTTCTCTTCACTGGGCGAGTCCGCGGGGGCTGATTTGCTCCTCGGGGTCCTGAAAGTATTGCAGGGCACGCGGTGACAGCGGGGAGGGGGCTCTAGGAGGCATGGACAGGAGAGTCGGGGTGTCCCAAGCTACTGGAGAAGGCGGAGTGAATCTTGAAACAGGGCGAGCGTCTCAGAAGGGGATGTTGGGGGTGGGGATATCTTGGAGCTACGACAAGTAAGGACCCGGGCGCAGGGACCCCCTCCCGTGCCGGGCACAGTGCCCTGCGTCTTGCACTACCTGTGCGGCCGCCAGTGGCGCACGGCGCTGCCCCGCGCTGCCTGCCCCAGCACAATGAGGAGCTTTCAGACGTGGCTGCGGTCCCGGGCCGGCGGGCAGGAGCCAGGGCGGGGGGAAGGAAGAAAGGAGCCGGTTGGCCCCCAGCTCCCGCTACCCTCCCATCCCCGAGCCAGGGGCCACGCCTCAGGGGAGGGGCTCTGGTTGAAGGCGGGTCCAGCAGGGCTCTGCTAAGGGAGCGCACAGGTGGGCTGGGGTCGGGGGGCGCTCGCTGTTTAGCCAAGGATGAGGGAGGCGCTGGCAGTCACCACTCATCCCACTAACTGACCGAAGAAGTCGTCTCCCCATCCAATCCCCAGAGAAGGGAGGCTCTAGGAGGACAAAGGCCCTTGTGAAGGAAATCAAAGCTGAATCTTGCCCCTGTTCGCTCTGTGGGGCATCCTTGCAGCGAAGTAATTTGCAATCCACACCTGGTCCCAAGCCCCCATCCTCAGCCCTAACCAAATCCAGGCACCTCGATGCCGGGGGGGGGGGGGGACCCACGCTGCCTCCCAGTTCAGTAGCCAAGCTGGAAGGGGGGCGAGAGACCAAGTGGCCTTGAGGAGCTGGAACTGGAGCTGACCCCTCCTCCTGTCCCCTCCCTGTCCTAGCCCAAACCCACAGGCACAGGCTTGATAGCAGGTTAGTATAAATAAAGGATACATTTCAACAAATAAAACAGTTTTTTCACCTTACATTTAAGAGGGCGGAGCCCAGGCATCTGAAAAGGATAGAACATTCTGACCTCTTGTAATCCGTGAAGATCTGAAACAAGTAGTAGCTGCTGGGCTGCTGGGTGAAGAAATTAGCACGATCTTTCCGGGATGTGGTTTGGCAAGATGAATTAAGATCTTTAACAATGGTCATAAGCTTTTTGAATTGGTAACTCCTCTCTAAAATTTTAAAGGAATAAGCAACAAGGGTCATAGAAGTGTCCTTCATGATACTAAAAAAATTGGAAAGAACACAAACGATTAGAAAGATGTGTGCCAGAAAGCCAACCATAGTAACTTCTGGGTAGTGGATTTGCAGACAATTGTTTCTTTAGGTTTTCGTTAGTTTTACGTAATTTACACGTTTACCAACAGGTCTTTAGAACTTACCTGGTCAGAAAACTACAAAACCTCCTTTACAAAGGATTAGGCAGGAGGGGGAGGGGGCAGGAAAAAACACGAAAGAAAGGACAGAAAACAATTCCTTTATGGACCTAACATAATGGGACCTAAGTGGAACATCAGGGGCATCACCTGATTTAAATAGAAACTGGACTCATCGTTTAGTAAATTTAGAACTCTTCCCCTCCCAAAATATTAAGTAAATTTCTCAAACCCTGACTTGGCTCAGTTTATATAATCCTGTATATTCCTTACCATTTTTCATGTTGTAATTGTGTTGTTTGATTAGGGTCAGAAGGTACCAACACCTGGATATGTAAAAATTTGATATTCACCAGACACGCTTGTAATTTTCCAGCCTGTCTTCCACATGGCATGTAGACTCCACTGAAAACTCATTTACTTGGGGTTGGGCCAGCGGATGTTCGCCAAAGAGCTAACAAAAGCTCCAAGGTCTTTGGGCAGAGCCTTGGCAAAGCGAGGCTGCTGTGAGTAACTGGGAGAAGTGTGTGCAGCCTCTGCCCTCCCCATTCTTTCCCCCTGCAAATCCTTCCCTGCTAAAAAGCAACGTGAAACCTCCCATTCTGAACATTTTAATTAGACATTTACAAAACATCATGGTTTCTTTATACACATTTTGCATTAGAATAATTTAACAAAATGTAAAGCCATGTTTATAGATAATCTTTAGCCATCTTTCCATATCTCACTACCTTTTGGGGATTTAAACCACAAACCATTTTTCATTTAAATATTAAGAAAAAAATTAAGCATATAAACAGTTCTAGGGGAAAAGGCATGTGTGTATATGGTATCGGTGTTAGGGAATTTTTCTGCTTGAATACTTCAAAATAGTTTTGTTTCCAAAACTCTTATTTTGGTCAGCCTGAAAGAAAGATGCTTTGGAAATAAGAACTGATCTCCAAGGTAAACCAAGGCACACACTGTGTTTGTGAATGGGCATGAAGCATGGATCTTAGGGGTTATGTCGTTCCAGTGCCAACAACATGCTTGGGATCACAACGAAGGTCCCTCTGTCCTTGGGGGAGACTGCACGTGTCCTCAGGAGGAGAATGGGGCTGAACACTCAGTCTCTGAGTGCCAGCTCCTGCAGACACTTGCTTGGCCACGGGGGTAATCTGGCTGGACTGCTTGTTTGTTAGAGCGAGGGCAGCTGGATGGTCCCAGGGTCCTTCCTCACCCTCACGCACAAGCTTGAGTGGCCCTAGTGCTTGTGCCCGTTCCCTCCACAGCTCCAGTGAAAGGCCTCAGTTCCGGAAATCACAGCTCTGAGTGGGAAACGGAGATGCCCAGGAGTGGAAAGTGCTAGTGATTTACATTATTTGTCACGAGAGCCCTGAAAAGAGTAAAAAGTGGTTCACAACAGGGAGAAGAAATGCACGCTGTGTTTCTCAGTTCCAGGGAGGAAAAGTCTTTGCTTGAATAGAGATGGGACTCTTTCCAAGACGTCTGAACTAACCATAATTTTCTCCTGAAATTCAAGGCTAAGGCAGGAAAAAAAAAAAAAACAAAAAAACTCCACCAAAGGCAAATTATGGCTCCAAGGACCCCTCAGGCCTTTCTATAAATTACTTCCTGATGGATTTGTAGGTGCTTAGAACACATGGAATTTGTGCAGAGCAAAATTAGAAAGAACTGTTTCTGTGTCTGAGGGGAAAAACACTGAAGCCCACGGGTGTCCATTGGGCTTCTGCAGAAATGTCGTACAATGGCAGTTCTCAGAAGACAACAGTGAGGTAGTCTTGTTCCTGCTGAGCCTTCAGAAATGGTCTTCTTAGGATAAGTGCTCCTTATACACTTCTCCACGGGGCATTGCGTTTGCAGGGACTGTGGTCACCACCTGATTCTGAAACACGAATATCTTGATTCTTTCAGACACCCAGAGGAAGATGAGCAGGATACTGACATACTGGACCCAGGCGAACTTTATCATCTCCCAGAATCCTGGTTGATAAGTACAGACAGTTAAGGAGTCACACACCACATGTTGTAAGTCAAAATAAATCAAGGTTCAGGTCAGGCAGGAAATGGCAAGAATGTTTCAAATACCCTTAAGAAAAAAGGGACAATAAAAGATTATTAAGATAATAAATATGGATGATTCTGACCTACAAGAATTGCTAAAAAGTATGAACAGGAAATGAATTTTTTTGATGTATAAACAGCAGACAGATACAGTCATTTGTGTGGTGGTGTAACACTGTAGCAATTTCCAATCTAAGGCTTCTCACATCTATTCCTATTTGGGACAACTGAGGAATTCTTCCTTTTTTTTTTGGAAACTGAGCTACCACTGTCTCTCTAACAGAATATATATAAATCAACTTCCACAGGGTATTGAATGATGGCATCAATCAGGAATGGAGCTTCATAGGCCATGCTGACCAGTAGGATGGTGTTGGGGTCATTCTGGATGGTGGTAACTGCAATACAATCATTAAACATTAATCCAGGATGAGGATGGTCCTTTGGTTAAAAATATTGAGTAGTACAAACAGTCATTTATTCCTGCAGGATATTCTGTACTTTGGAACAGAAAGAAGTTATTCCAAAGTATAGAGAAATAGCATGTGCAAAGTTGCTGATACGTTATTTGTTAAAATATTTATCAAAATATTTATGATAAAATATGTCGAATAATCGAGGGTGGGCACAGTGGCTCAAAACTATTATCCCAGCACTTTGGGAGTCTAGGATGGGAGGACTGCTTGAGGCCAGGAGTTTGAGGCCAGCCTGGGCAACCTAGCAAGACCCCATCTCTATAAAAAATTTAAAAATTACCGAGTGTGGTGGTACACCCCTGTAGTCCCAGCTACTGTGAATGCTGAGGTGAGAGGATCACTTGAGCCCAGGAGCTTGAGGTTGCAGTGAGCTATGATGACAGCACTGTATTCTAGCCCAGGCAACAGAGCAAGACCCTCTCTCAAAAAATAAATAAGTAATTTGGATCCCAAAGTGATTCTACACTATGATAATAGCTGTAATAAAAAAATCCACATAAGAATAAAGGATGAAAGGAATCAGGAAGAAAATGTTGATTTGTTGGTTAGTGTTTTAGTTTTGTTTTAAAATTTCCTCTATTATTGCAATAATGCTGTTAGTTTATTATATAAAATCAGTAAACAACGGTGCAATTGCAGTCCTCCCCCTCCTGAAATGTCTGTGTGTACTATCCATGTTGTCTGGTTGCCAAGTAACACCTTTTTTTTTTCTTTTTGAGACAGTCTTGCTAGAGTGCCTTGGCATCAGCCTAGCTCACAGCAACCTCAAACTCCTGGGCTCAAGAGATCCTCCTGCCTCAGCTTTTTGAGTAGCTGGGACTACAGGCACTCGCCATCACACCTGGCTAATTTTTTGTTTCTATTTTTAGTTGCCTGGCTAATTTTTTCTATTTTTAGTAGAGACAGGGTCTCTCTCTTCCTCAGGCTGGTCTCGAACTTCTGACCTCAAGCGATTCTCCCACCTCGGCCTAAGAGAGTGCTAGGATTAAAGGCATGCAAGTAACACTTTAGCTGCCTTTAGAGAAACCTCTGACCATCAACCAGGCAAATGTGCCGAGTCAAGCACACGCAATGGCCTGAGAGCCTCGCGCTGTGAGGAATGAACACACTCTGCTCTGCCTTCCAGTAGGAAGCTTGGGCACTTCTGTCCTCCTGCTGGACTGCCAGTGTGGGCTGACTCACTCACATTCTCTATTTCTCTCTGGAAAAAACAAAAGGAAACTCATCAGGGCAGAGGTGGGATAAATATGGCAATTAATCATCACTAACCTGCTGGCCCACAGGAGGGGTGGAGGAGGGGTGCTGCGGGTCTAGAGATCAGGACAGAAAGGACAGATCCTGGGTAGTCTGTCTGCTCCCATCACTGAGCATTCGCGAGTTCTGATATTTTGATCACGACAAGGGTTCCAGTTCTTTTTGTCTCTGTTGCCCCCACAAACCTGGAAAGTCCTTGGGCAGTGGATCAAAGTCCCCAACCCATGACTCACCATTCCTTTCCTGATGGGCAGCAACAATGTGGGTGAGGTCATAGTCACAGGCAAAAGGGCTGGTCCCATTGATCACGGACACCTGGACACGGCAGGAGGACGTGGTGTGAGCACCCAAGAGGCTTCTCCTCTCTTCCCTCCTCTGTCTACCCTCCTGCCCACCCAGGCTGCTGCCACAGACCACCCTCTTGATCTTGGTGGCCTGTCCCATTAGCAGTGAACTTTTCTGCAAAGACGAATAAACTCTCCTGTGACAATTTAAGTCCCTTTACTCTCAGTCTTTCCTTCTGCGGGGATGGAAACAAGGGTCAATATCCACCTTTCACAGGTTTAAAACTATTTATAAAATACCCTTCTCCACTCCAATGGGAGAAATAGTTCCTTTAATTTTTTTATTACACCACGTTTCCAATTGCTTTGTCATTTCCTTAACCTTCTCTAAATGATGATTTCTTTATCTCTTTTAAATGTAGAAATGGAAATAGATAAAATGCAAACAGTAAGCATATAATCCCTTAAAGAAGGAAATGATTTCTTGCTCTATAATATCATATTCCTGTTAATCTGATATAGAAAATAAAAAGTGCCAATGATGAGTTTATACATTTTATATGTGTATACAATAAAAAGTGCCATATTAAGTTTATTCTTATGGTCCCCCTCACTTTATAACTTGAATGGATTGGAGCTAGGGTGGCCATAAATCCCAGTTTATATGAAACAGTCCTGGTTTATGGCTGTAATAACTGATAACATCCCTCCTTCACTTTCAAAAGTAGCTCGTCCCAATTTATATGGTCCCTCTTGTGGTAAAATAAAGGTTTGAAATAAGTGATTGGATGTATGCATTCTGGACTCAGAGGAACAGTTGCTGGCTGTTACTTTCAAGCTTTGGGCCTTTGGGAAAGTTAATTAATCCCTGTGAGCCGCCATTTCCTTCTGTACAACATGAGAGTTCATTCTTTCAAAAAATCTCTCGGAGAGCTTACCAAGTGCCAGGCACTGTTTTAGGTACTCGGGTGATGGTATACAGGATGGCAGTGCTGTTAACGCTGAGGTAGACAACAAATAAACCAAAAACATATCTTTAGTATGTCAGGTTGTGGTAGGAAAAGTCAGTCTGGGTGAGGGAAGATGGAGGGAGGAGAATGCTTTTTAGAAAGTTGGGTCAGGGAAGGTCTGTGCTCAGGGACACTGCAACAGGCACATTCATGGAAGGGTCCAATAAGCTATGAGGATCCCTGGCAGAGGGAACAGTAAGCACAAAAGCATTGAGGTGGGAGTTGTTTCCTGGGTTGAAGAAAGAGCAAAAAGGCCAGTGTGGCTGGAATGGAGCCAGGGGGACAGTCATAGGACCAGTGGTGGGTGAGCTGGGAAATGACAATTGTAGGCACATCAGAGATTGCTGTGATGATGAAATGAGATGATATATGTAAACCACTTCACTCAGGGCTGGCATGTTACCTGTTCAAGAAAGTATGACTAATATTATTGTTAAATTATTTTACATCAACATTTTATGTGATCACTTTCAATAGTCTTGTGAGTATCAGGGGGACAGCGAGAGAAAGACAGAGACAGAGAGAGAATGAGAGAGAGAGAGAGAGAGAGAGAGAACCAACCTAAAAGCAAGAACAATTACAATTTAGTTATTTGACAAATACAGACTATCTCCTCTCTCATTCCAGGTGTAAATACAGGTGCATCTCTTCCATACTTTGAAACAATTCGTGGCAAAAATTCCTCAGACGCCTTCTTCTCAGCCACATACAGAGAAATGCTGTTTCTACCTTTCATTCCCCTCTTCAAAGAACTTGATAAACAGTGACATAAAGAAACAAAGACGGTGGACAACAAGAAGCATCCTCACGTTGTATCGGACATCTAGGCCACCATAGCTTAGCGGCTGCCTCTGCTGCAGCCTCAGGTCTCCATTCACATATAACTGGGACCCAGGAATGGCAAAGGAGGACTGGAGAAACGCCATGCTCTGCATCACAAACGTCGACATCCTCTGAAAGCAGCACAAGGAAAGACAATACCAAATGCAGACAGATACGAAGGTCTCTGGGCTCTAAGAGTCACCAGTCTTGGCTGAAGCCTGACAAGCCCTCACGTATCTGGTATAGCCATGCAGGAAGCCTCTGCCCAGAACCCTCTGAGCTGCTGATGGCCCATATAAATGAGTATGACCCAGTGAAAAACATTCGATTGGCCTAAGTTAGATCCCAATCTACACTCCAGGAGAGAGTCTGCGACAGTATGGGTCTTCCTAGCAAACAGAAGGAGGGCTCTATTCTATTAAAAGACAAAGGGAGAGGACGGCCTCCTAAGGGCCCGACTCACGTGCAGTTGGTAGGAGAACATCAGGATGAGCTGCACACCAAGAACATGCTCTGTAGACTGCAGGGGAGGCTCCAGTTTAAAATACAGCCTGTCCATTTTCCCATCCTGGTTCCTGTTTTCTTCTCTCATCTAGGGAACACAAAGGGGGCCAGCGGCCCTGGTCCTTAACAGGTCTGGGAAGAATCCACATCACTTTTGTGCATACTCAATGAACCACTGTCCTGCCATACACAGGCATTATTTCCTTCACCATGAGAAAGAAACATAAACAAGTGTAAGCGCATCATTACTGGGGAAAAAGACACAGTGTGCAATCGCCCTGAACTTCATACTTGTACCTCTCAAATGATCACCGGTCAAAATGAATGTGAACTTAAAGTGGCAATAATAACAACAAACATCTGGATAACATTTATCTCTTTCAGTTGTCTCATTTGATCTGGTTTGTTTGTACTGGTGTTTTCTTTTTTTCTTTCTTATAAACATGCTTGGGTTTGTACCGAAAATTTAAATAGCATATCACAATCGTCTTCTACTTCTTTGCAAGGCAACTTTTTAAAACAGAAATAAACTAATTCTAATCATCGTGCATTCCCCAAACCAACTCAACAGAAAATCACC